TAAAACTTAAAATTTTTAATTAAACTCCAATATTTTTATATTAAAAATAAACTTACTGGAAATACTTCTGAAACACCAGAAAGCAGGTTTAAATTGCTACCAACGCCACCATTACTCTCCTGAATCTGCTGTTCCAAATTTTCTATCTTAAGAATAAGAAAACAGATTTCTTCTTTTAGAACATAAATATCATCAGACTGTCCAAAACTTGTTAAATTTTGGCCCAATAGTCTTGAAAAACATTTCTCAGTTTCTACATATACAGGAAGACTGTGTCTTTTCAATTGTGACACAAATTTATTCAAAGAATTCCTTTTACTCATAATTTTGAAATCTTTCCTATTAACTGATTTATGGTGTTCACTGTCATGTAATTGTTCAGCTACATTCTCTTTCAATTCTAATTCAACATTCAGTGCATCAATCATTAATGTTTTTTCTTGTAACAAACATTTTAATTCTTGTATTTGTTTTTCTTTTGCATCTATTGCTATTTTTCCTTCATTTCGTAACCTTCCTAGTTCATCACTTTCAAACTGTTTTATCTTTTTTATTTTACTGAAATCGGATGTCATTTCTTCTAGTTTTGTTTTAAGTTCACAGAATAATTTATCTTTTTCAGTTAAACTATGTTGACTTTTAATATATTCATTCTGCAATTCTATATGCCTTTTATTAACGATTTCCAACAAATTATCTTTTTCTGTAATCGCATTTTGTAAAGTATTATTCGCTAATTTTGTATTTTCTAATTCCAATTTTATATTTTCAAACTGCTCTTTCACCAATTCAATTTCTTTTTCATAATTTACAATGTCTATTGCTTTCTCTTTCTGCAAAGAAAACTGTTCTTTTAAACTGTCTCTTTCCTTTTCGCATTCATGCAATTCTCCCATTTTTTCATCAATTTCAAATTCTAATTCTTCAGTTTTGTGTTGTAATTTTTCACAAAGTTCATTAAGTCTTTCTATTTCATTATCTTTTTGTCTTAAAACAGCATCAAGCTTCTCTTTAATTTTAGAATGCTCCAACTTTAATTTTTCGTTATCAGATGCCAATTCTTCCTTTTTGTTCATCAATTCCGTAATATCAACTTTCGACTGAATTAAATCCTTTTCTTTAATATTCTCTTCTTTCTTTAAGCATTTTTCAAGTTCTTCCAATTTTGATTGTAAATCTTGGATATAAATATCTTTTTGTTTCAAATTATTCAATAAATTTTCTACACTTTTACTGTTCTCGGTCACAGCATTTTTTCGTTCAGTCAAGAGTTCCTATTAAAAAAAATCATACTATTATGAATAATTTTACTTTTTTAAATTTATTTCTATTTTATATAATATATAAACTATTTCTGTATATAAAATCATTGATAGTTTTAGGCAACTTTTACTTTTAATTTTCTAAAAGCAAATTTATTTTGTATTTAATAATTTGTTATATAGTATAATAAGAAATGATTTGTTCAAAATTTATTTATAAAATATAAGCCCCCGTCCCTTACCACTCAGATGTTTCAATAACATGTATACATAATACAAATTAACAATTTAAACACCAAATAATATCTGTAATACAACATTGATTATATTAAATCTTCAGTGCTTCAATAGGGAGTTGAATCTCCAGAAATAGCAGATATGGCCAAACTCAAACATCATATTGAATCACACTCATAATCTGCAGTACCAGTACAACTGTACCCCCAAACACTGTAAAATTCCTCATGATTCACTGGATATCAACTGTCATACTATCTCTTATTAATTTGTATTCCCTTGTTAAAGTTTAATATAATATCTTTACATAAACTTATTTTAACTTTGACATGTTCTTTAATTCTTTAAACATGAAATTGGCTAAAATCAGTTTATTCCATTCAAAACAAAATCAGTCAATGGAATAGCTCTTTTGCTGGTTTTGCTATACAAGTTCCCTTTGTAGCATGAGAGGTAACATTTAGTCTCCAGATAGAAAGGAAAAAGAAATTTTCAGAGCTTAAAGAGTTAAACTTCCTCTTATACACATCAATTTCATAGTGGAAAATTTTCACAGTAGTGTTTGTTTATTTCAAGTTTTATAATTTAAAAAAAGATCTTTTTAATGTATAGTGTTAATGAAGAGGAATTATGAAATTTTAAGATAACACAAAATTACATATTACAGTGTATAATAAAAAAAATCATGCAATTACAGAAAATAATGATTAAATTCTAAAATTGTGGAGTATTGATTCACTGAAAGAGCCATTAAAATACCTATACCCACAGTATTATAGTGAAAACATTTCAATATAATTATATCTGGTGTTCTCAAAGAAAAATAGTTTAATTGAGAAAAATTATGTGATTATCAAAGATAAACTTATCATAATTACAACTGATTGCAAAATAGCAAATGCTATTTAATAAATATTAAATTATCTATTAATGTGTCTATTATACAGAAAATGAATTTAAAAAGTTACATCTATTATTACACATGTTACTTTTTTAAAATATTTGTAAAATGTATATATCCATTAGAAAAATATAAATTGAAAAAATATTTATCATTAAAAACTTAAAATTTATAAATTCACCTGTATGAATAAATTTTTATCCTTAACTGCTTGATGAAGGGAAGCCAATTCTTTTTTCATATCATCATTAGTTTCCTAAAAAAAATTAACAAATTTCACATTAAGAATATTATGAATATTAAGAACATTAAGAATATTAAGTATAAAATATATTTTAATACATATTCTTGCCAATATCCATTTTATATAATTCAATATATCCATCAAAATCTTTAGAAGACTAAAAAATTAGTTCTGTTTTCATATGCACAACTCTTGTTATTTATTGACACAAAGATCAAATTTAATCAAGTGACAAATAAAGATTAAAAGTTTGTGAACATGATAAAAAAGATGACAAATTTTCTTGGATAATTTTTCAACACTTACAAATTTATAAAAAGGAAATGTTTCAAATAAATTTTTTTTAATTTAAATTTTAAGGCTATTATTACTTTATGTTAGTCAACCATATAAAAAAATTTTAGAATTTTAAAAATGAAATTTATCTTAAATTAAAACTTAAAATTTTTAATTAAACTCCAATATTTTTATATTAAAAATAAACTTACTGGAAATACTTCTGAAACACCAGAAAGCAGGTTTAAATTGCTACCAACGCCACCATTACTCTCCTGAATCTGCTGTTCCAAATTTTCTATCTTAAGAATAAGAAAACAGATTTCTTCTTTTAGAACATAAATATCATCAGACTGTCCAAAACTTGTTAAATTTTGGCCCAATAGTCTTGAAAAACATTTCTCAGTTTCTACATATACAGGAAGACTGTGTCTTTTCAATTGTGACACANATTAATATGAATTCTTGTTAAAGCTCCTTAATAATCAATTACTTTTTAAATTTTAAAACAGTAAAGAATAAACATTTTACCTCAAGTGAACTCTCCTCTTTATTAACAGATTTATTTTGCATCATTGTTAACCATTGCAAATAATGTTTTTCAAATGACTGACAAAAAATAATAAAAGCAAACTATTAATCAGTAATATAGTTAAGAAAACAGTAATAAATTTATTTCAAATTACCTCAATGCTATTTTCTAGTGATTCTATTTCTTCTTTGTCTTGATACGTAGACAAATACTAAAAATAAAATATATATATTTTTTAATTTAAACTACATATTTTATTATACTTGTGCTTATTATTAATTACAGGTATACCACTAATACTAGGTGGGTTGTAGGTTTGCAAAATGTAACTTTCCTTTTTATTTATTTATTTATTTTTTTTACAAATTATTTAAATTTGCATTGTTTAATTTTTATTAATTCAAATAGAGATAATTTTGCAACATATGTACATTCAGCTGGTTAGTTTTCATTAGACTAGATGTACAGGAAGAATATTCAAATCTATCTCACCAAGAATATAGAAGTATAAGAGATATACATAATTTATGTATATCTCTTATACTTCTTATACTTCTATCTGTGGCATGGTCACATAATGTGGTCATGTAATGAATTGTTATTTTTATATTTAAATTTTACAGTTTGCCTTTATTTTTTAAAAGTAACTGGTTTTTGATTTGTACATATAACACATAATAGGCAATGAAATATAACATGAGAAATAAAGATAATCTAACATAAATCGCAAATAAAAATTTACAAGAGTGTAAATTAGATATGAACTTTCATGACAATAGGCTAATTTCTAATGAATACAGTAGAACCCTGATTATCTAAGTTAGTGTGGATCAATTCTACCCTGGATGACCAAAAGTTTATATAAAATGAATGGCGAAGGTCATTTCATATTAAAAATTATGAATATAAAAAACTTACATGGTAGCACTTTAAGCCTCTTTTTATTCTTTAGTGAATTATATATAATATCATTTTTTAAAAATCATTTATTATACAATTAATATATGTACAATAGTTTTAAAAATAAAGATGTATATTATTGTAGTTACATTTCAATATAAATATTTTGTCTCATATTAAAGTTAAATAATAAAAGATAGCATAAATAAATTATTTTGTAATACAGGTTATTGCTTTAAACTTTCTTTTATGAATTACAATATGAGAAAAATAGTATATTCACTTACAAGTTCAGTTCAGATAACATGGAACCTCAGTTAAGGCTTGGACAATTAGAGTTCTACTGTTTAACTAACTGACTGGCTTTTTACCAATAATGAATATTTAAGTTAATATAACTATATGTTAGAGAGAGGAAAGTATACAGAGGCCAGACAGATTTGTGAATTTTTACTTCAAAAAATATTACTGCAGGTTCTTGTTTACTCCAACATATAGTAATAAGCTATCACTATAATAATTGTTAAAATGTGGTTTTAAGATAGACTTTAGGAAATAATAATATATACCAGAAAATAAATTTATCTTATAAATAAAACAAAGATACAAATTATTTTAATAAGTATGCAAAATAATATTTTCATAGAATTATTTTATTGAAAATAATTATTTTAATATTAATAATGGAAGTATTTAATTTCATTGGTTTTTACTATATAAATTTTATGAAATATATTTCTTAATATAATAACAGCATTTTAATCTTTTGTTTATTAATAAATAAATTAATTATTCAAAAATAACTAAAAATAATCTTAAGTTATTTTAAAATTACCTTAAATACATAAAATAGTGATTATTTTTAAATTACCTTTCGAAGAGCAATGGATAAATTAGTTATCACAGTTTGATCAATTTCTGTTGTAGTAATGGCACTATTGACTGACTGCTTGACTAGCTTTAATAATTGATCAAGAGCTTCTTTCTCACCCAGTTTATTTCTGAAATATTTTAAATCTTTCTCTTTCCTGTACAAAATTTCAGTCAATCCTTGAATTGTTTTATCACGTTTAAGTGACTGCTTTTTCATTAAATCTACTTTCTTTTCTATAGTTTTATCTGCAATCTGAATAAAGTAAAATTTTTATTATTTTTAAAATTATTGAAATATTAACTTCTTTACAATACTTACTACTTTGCAATTTGGACACATTTCAGCAGGAGATATACTTTTCTCACTTGAAATGCTAAAAGTATCACTTAAATCCTAGAATATAAAATTAATAAATCATGAACTTTATAATTTATAGTGTTTAATAAATAATCCACTATACCTTCTTTCCTTCATTTTCAGATGTATTTGTACTTGAGTCTTTGGAATCTGATTGTTTTTGTGTTATATGCTGCTTCAAGTAAAAATAAATGACTATTAATGTAATGACTTTCAAGTTAAAATAAAATTTTTAATTAAATTCATAATATTTATTAGTGCCCAATTAGAAAATTTTATAAATTCATATAGGAAGTTATCGTATTTATATATATCAAACAAAAAAGTATTTAAATATTGTGATAATTATATATTACCTTCTTTAATTTTGCAACATAATTTTCCAGATTCGATTGGTTGGCACGAGTTGTTGCCCTTAAATCTGAAAGTTCTTCTTTATGAAGTTGATCTAATTTCTGAAGAGTACTACTATAAATAACACTTTATTAATAAATAAAATATATCAAAAATGCATATATTTAGTCAATATTATTTATAATTTTGATTTCTAAGCATATACTTGTTACTTTGCATCATAAAATTCTACAGCATGCATAATAATGTTTTATTTCAATTGCTTCTAAAATAGATAACTGATTACAATTTAGCAAGTCATAGTACATAGGTCAAACTGAAAGTAATGAACAACAATTTTTCATAAATCACAATATATTAATTATGAAAAACTAAGAATATTGTTATAATCCATAGACTACAGAGAGTGCCATGAGGAAGTTGTGATGTCACTATCTTCCATTACATGATCACAGATAGCCAAAACAAAATGGCTACAACTGATGTTTCATTTCACCAGCATGCTGTAATCAAATTTCCCATTGAGGAGGAAATTTGTACTGCAGAAATTCACCAGAACTTCAGAGTGTATGTGGAGATGTGTGCATGGATGCCAGCAGTGTTAAATGGGTAAAACAATTTAAAGATGGAAACACAAGCACTGAAGATCAGCCTAACAGTGGCCATCTGCAGACTGCCTGCAATGAATGCAACAAAAAAAGAGTGGATAAGATTGTTAAGGAAGACTGATGTGTAACTGTGGAAGATAAATATTGTGATAGGTGGTGAAAGCTTGTACTACCATTATGCACTTGAAACAAATGGCAGAGTATGGAATGGCACCACCTCAATTCCCCAACAAAAAAGTAGGCAAAGACAGTTGGAAAAGTTATGAGCTCTGTTTTCTGGGATATAGATGGAATGATTCTGATGGAATTTCTTGAACCTGGGCAAACCATTAATGCTGTTCAGTACACTTCATAAACTCTGTCGTACTTGTGTGATAAACATCCTGGGAAGATCATCCTGCAACATAACAATGCAAGGCTCCACACTGCTCATTACATCGGGGAGTAAATCCATAAATCGAAAATTGAAGGGTGCAGTCCCTACAGCCCAATTTAGCACCCTTCGATTCTCTTTTTTTTTTTGTGCTGTGAAGGAAAACATGCAAGGCCAATGCTACAAAATGGTGGTGGACATGAAGAAATCAGTGCATCAGTTTTTTTGCGGGGCTGGAGTTCTATTGTAAAGAAATTTTCAAGCTCCCACAATGGTAGGAAAAATGGTATTAAAAAAATGTTGCTTATGACTTTCAAAATGACTCTTGTAAATTACTTTAGTTTCTATGACTATTTTTATAACATGTAATTTTCTTTTCCCATGTTTTCTTTTGCCATTAATTCAAATTCAAACTATTTTCTATTTTATATGTAATTTTTTCCTACTAAATTAAACCACAATCTTAAAAATATCATTACTTCTTTCTCATAAATTGTTTTTTTTTATTCTACATTTTATATAAAAAAAATATGTATTAATAACTTCTCAACTAAGACATATGAAATATCATTTAACCATGAAAATAGGTGTGTTTGATGAAATAAAGCAATGCATCACTAAAGTGATGTGCCAAAGCAAATACTTCTCAGGAGATAATTCTATGAGGAACTGGCCCCTATTTAAACATTATATACATGAAGAAAACCCCCTTGTTCAGTAGTTTTATCCACTCAACCACTGATAAGCACTACAATATTCTAATTAGAATGGTAGTAAAAGTTTTTCCATCTATTCATTTAATAGAAATGACCATATCAATTTCTTAATAACTTCATTAGCAATTGATTTCCCAACAAAAAATATAATATTGATTCTACTCTTAAAAATTTTTATTTGATAAACTTTAACTATTTATTGGTAAACTTATTATGTATCTGAAAATTTTATATTAGAACAAAAACTGTATCTATAATATTTAACATCTAAGTCATTTTATCATATTAATTAATATAATCTAAGGTCTCAATAGTAAGCTATCTTAAGAATAAGAAAACAGATTTCTTCTTTTAGAACATAAATATCATCAGACTGTCCAAAACTTGTTAAATTTTGGCCCAATAGTCTTGAAAAACATTTCTCAGTTTCTACATATACAGGAAGACTGTGTCTTTTCAATTGTGACACAAATTTATTCAAAGAATTCCTTTTACTCATAATTTTGAAATCTTTCCTATTAACTGATTTATGGTGTTCACTGTCATGTAATTGTTCAGCTACATTCTCTTTCAATTCTAATTCAACATTCAGTGCATCAATCATTAATGTTTTTTCTTGTAACAAACATTTTAATTCTTGTATTTGTTTTTCTTTTGCATCTATTGCTATTTTTCCTTCATTTCGTAACCTTCCTAGTTCATCACTTTCAAACTGTTTTATCTTTTTTATTTTACTGAAATCGGATGTCATTTCTTCTAGTTTTGTTTTAAGTTCACAGAATAATTTATCTTTTTCAGTTAAACTATGTTGACTTTTAATATATTCATTCTGCAATTCTATATGCCTTTTATTAACGATTTCCAACAAATTATCTTTTTCTGTAATCGCATTTTGTAAAGTATTATTCGCTAATTTTGTATTTTCTAATTCCAATTTTATATTTTCAAACTGCTCTTTCACCAATTCAATTTCTTTTTCATAATTTACAATGTCTATTGCTTTCTCTTTCTGCAAAGAAAACTGTTCTTTTAAACTGTCTCTTTCCTTTTCGCATTCATGCAATTCTCCCATTTTTTCATCAATTTCAAATTCTAATTCTTCAGTTTTGTGTTGTAATTTTTCACAAAGTTCATTAAGTCTTTCTATTTCATTATCTTTTTGTCTTAAAACAGCATCAAGCTTCTCTTTAATTTTAGAATGCTCCAACTTTAATTTTTCGTTATCAGATGCCAATTCTTCCTTTTTGTTCATCAATTCCGTAATATCAACTTTCGACTGAATTAAATCCTTTTCTTTAATATTCTCTTCTTTCTTTAAGCATTTTTCAAGTTCTTCCAATTTTGATTGTAAATCTTGGATATAAATATCTTTTTGTTTCAAATTATTCAATAAATTTTCTACACTTTTACTGTTCTCGGTCACAGCATTTTTTCGTTCAGTCAAGAGTTCCTATTAAAAAAAATCATACTATTATGAATAATTTTACTTTTTTAAATTTATTTCTATTTTATATAATATATAAACTATTTCTGTATATAAAATCATTGATAGTTTTAGGCAACTTTTACTTTTAATTTTCTAAAAGCAAATTTATTTTGTATTTAATAATTTGTTATATAGTATAATAAGAAATGATTTGTTCAAAATTTATTTATAAAATATAAGCCCNTTATAATAGAATCTTTAGAGAACTTCTTAACACAAATTTTGTATAATAATATTTTTTGTCGTTGAGTACATCAACAATCAATTCAAGAGTTGGGAACAAATTTACTTAATGTTAATATAAATGACTGTATCCGGATACCTAATGTTAATCAATTTTCATTTATCATTTGCTATAAAAGGAAGTAATTCAATTTGTATTATTGTTGTTATTAGATATTTAACTTGGTTTCCAAAATTTTGCATTGATTATTGGTGAAAAAAACTTGTTTTTCATTTTTCTATGACAAAAAAAATAAATAAGTACAAAGTATAAGAATTGTTCAAATGAAACAGACTGAACCATATGTATTAGCATTGGTGTAATTGGTCACTAAAGCAGGATTACAGTGTATAAAGCATAGCGATAAAGTTGTATTATCTGCTATAGGAAATTGCCTCCTGCATTCAGACAATGTCCCAATGTAGTACAAGTTCATGTATATCCTCTGCATCCAAAGAGAACCACTTTGGATCAGAAATTCAACAGAATAAGCCCATACCATAATAGCCAAGTATCTATATACTTTAAGCAAAATTTTTGAATTGTCTCTATGCTGTGTATACTTTAATCCTGCTAAAGTGACCAATGACATCTATGTATTATAGAATCAATTCTATATTTCAATTGAACAACCCTTATATTTCCAGAGGAAAAACAACAAAATTAAAATTGTTTCAAAATGTTTTACAAATTATAAGAATTTTTATAATAATTTATGAATGATTATAAAAAATTTATATAAATTTTTAAAATTTAATTGTCCTGGCAATTTCTATCAAATTTATATAATGACTTTTAATTAAATAAATATGCATCAATAATTAAAAACTTAGAATTAACTATATTCTTCATATTATAACAATTAATTGAGAAATGATCTATTAAAATATAAATCAAGTTGCTAGAAATTTATCACTGTTTTTCTACATTCTTTAAATCAGCAAGCTTTCAACAATTTTTCAGGTTTTATTTAAAAATTCCATTTTTTCCCACCATTCAACTTAATTAAAATGTGAAGGGATAAAAATAACAGGATACTTTTTAATGTATTTAAATCTTTATTGTTTTAATTTCATCACAACATTCAACATTCAAACATAAATCAATAAAGCAAAGAAAAACTAACTTTTAATAAATTTGAAAAGTAATTTAAATATTCATATTTATTTACAATTTCAAGATTCAAAAAAAATCACATTTATTTTAAAAAAATTACACAAACTGAATGCAAAAATATGCAAAATGAAATTATAGTATACATCTTAACAACAATCTAAGCAATAGATACTTAATATTCAATTTTACATATTCATTAATATTTAATAGATAAAATTAAATAAATATACTAATATTAATTATCATAGTAAATCAATTAATATATTAAATATATTTAATACAATATTTAATTAATATTTTAAAAAAACATATAATTGTGCCAATATTAATATAAATAAATGGAATAAACTGATTATTTACCAAAATAATTGCAAATTATTAGTAAATTATATGCATTTTTACCTTGTTTCTTGTAATAATTTTTCTTTTTGCTCCAAATCTTTGCGCATATTCTCCGCTTCAATTTTCAACTGAATATTCTAAAATAATTTAGATACTAAAATTATTTATGCTTTATAAGAGTTGCAGTGGTTGTCTCATTATAATCATTTTATGCTACAGTTGCATTGATAACAACATGTATTGTTATTTTGAAATTAAATAAAAATTCAGCTGCAATAATCTTTACTAAAATACAAAAATATATAAATGAATCTCATTACTACAAAAATTCAGATTTAGTAGTAAAAAGAAAATATATTTAAAATCGAAAGTTAGCCGTCTGTTATTTAATCAAAACAATAAGATCTTCATTCTTTATATCAGTTAAACTCATCTGATATGTTATACCAAGTCTTAAAATTTCTAGTCACTTGACTTTCAATTTGTTGGAAATTTGCCAGTTTTTATCAATTTCAGATTCTTTCTCATTGTTGATTCTGGACATCAGCCTGTAAACATTGAATCATTTGAAGTTTCTAATAACATTCAAGCAGTCATAGTTATTATTTGTGTAACAGAATTTCAACATTCTTTTCATTATTATACTTGAAATAAGCAGCATCAAGAACTGAAAGATCAAATAATGATGCACTAATTTCAACTCCAATAAATGATTTTTTTGGCTGATAAGGTTGGCATTTCTCAATTCCAACAACATTATACAAATGATAACATTGACAATAATGATCATATATGCAGAAATCACTTTACACTAAAAATCCATTATCTTATCATCACCATTGGCTCTAAGATATGAAGTAATGATTCTTAACCTTTTCTACTGCTCACGCACCAATTTGAATTGTTAAAATGCATTCATACAACCCGAAAAAAGTCTGTTAATTTTTTTTTTGGTATGAAGGAGTTAGCATTGTCTAATGTTCTCATATGTATTTAATCTAACATCTTAAACAATTAAAAAAATTCATGTACACTCATTCATTAACATAACCATTTAGTTCTCAGTAAGGGATTCACCACAGAAAAAAAAAATTATACATTTAAGTCTAATGTTAATACATTTTTATTGAAATATTTTTTAAAACAAAGTTTGCAATGAAAAAGATAAAGTTTAATTAAATAAATAAAGTATTTATCCTTCCTGCAAAGTTATCTCACATTCCAAATTAAGAAACACTGAATGAATAAGATTACAATTGATTTTAAAATCTTTACATTTGAATTATATTTAAATAATCAAAAAATGTTTTAAAAGCCTTGATAAGAATTACGAAAAAAGAATCCATCAAAATTAGTTAAACAGTCCTATTAAAAATGTGTCTACAAATCAACCACTTCCAACATATATGGCATATAATTTCATTTGTGATCCACCAATGCCAATGGAATATCTTGTAGACAAAAATCCTAATACTATTAAACAATCTTTTATTTAAGTAAGGCACTATTACAATTTTAACAATTTTCAAGCGTTATTTGGAGTATTTGCATCTGTTTTACGACAGATATGTTCAAAATGCTGCATGTGAATCCAAACTTTGCACTCATCTCATCAAGAAAGCAAAAACTATATCAAATATGTTGGTGATTTCTGATTTGCTAACAGCCATTTTCAATATGCCATCGTAACTACTCTATTGTCTACAGAAGATGAATATATCAGCCTTTAAAATACAGGTATCCCTTAATGCAAGATTTTATTAATATGTGAAATTAATTGCTGCAATCCCTTTATATACACAGAAAAAGTTTTAAATAACGTGACTTTAACAGCTGTCTTTACTTAACATAGATTAACAATATTTGATTAACACAATTTTGATATACACAGTGGCATCGAGGGTTTAATTAACCACATTAATCAAAGGGTACCTGTACTTTATAGAAATTATTTAAAATTTATAAATGTTTAATAATTATTTTATTAATATATATTGATTCTTCATAGTACTATTTTCAATATTATCAGTAGGGTTTTGTTTTATTTTGGGCTTTGTTTCAATTAATAATCAGAATTATCCTATGCATCACAGTTAATCTAATTGTTCATATACAGGAAAATATATGACACTCTGAAGATATATATATTTCATATTTTCATAGTCATATCCCACACACACATATATGTATGTATGTTATATATATTTAAAAGTAGTAAAAGTAGAAGTATCCTTTACCATCTACTTCTCATTATATATTTTTATCCCATACACACTCTCTCATATCACATCACACACATATATACACATTAATATATATTAATGTTCTGATTCTTCATATATAGATTATATTATATTATAATATATTATATATATATATATAGGGGAATAAACTGATTATTTAC